GCGGACTCTGCAGCAAACATTATACATGCATATAAGAAAAGAACATCGGGGAAATGATGATAAACATTATCCATCCATTCGTGAGAAATTGTAACCTTTTAGGTCATATCCTGGCGTGTTTTTGTCATAAAATTTCACAAATTTAACCAACCAATCAATTTAATATTTTAGCTTGTAAAAAAATCGTACATCTTCAGACTATCGGGTCTTCGGAGTAATGGGCTCTCAGACTAACGGACCGTCATCGTTGAGAAACCCTGTTTATAAGATCTATAATCCCGAATAAATAGATCGGTTAAAAGAATCGAAACATACGGGATTATTAGATGTTTGAGGAATAACAGCGTGTTGGTAGAACTTTGAAAAGAAGGGAGCTGATGTAACTTGGTTACTCGAGCAATTAGGCCATTACTCTGTATTTTTCTGTGTACGTTTCCGTCATTTACTGTGCATTACTAGCTAGCTGCAAATGTTTAAGTTGTATTTTCCCATGCTTCCTACGCTGACCTTCCAGCTTGAGACAGATTGAAATCAAATGAAAAAAGGATTGTCGTTAACTGTTGTGTGTGGAGAAGGGGGCGTTTCAACCCAGTAAGATTGGTAGATGTACCCTTGATTCTTTCACCATATAGAAATGCAGAAAGTAAAGACCAATCATTCAGAGGCAAATCGACCAAACAAATGTCGTATGGACCCAAAATGTTGAAACAGGTATATAAATATAAAGAGCAAACCACGAGTGGCTAGCCTTACATCATACAGTAGAGTACATTTAATATTACGGTTCTATATTCTGTTTTTAGGGGATTCTGTGTTAACAAGTGAGACTAGACAATTAATTTATCATACGAATTTATATTTGAATAATGATAATCCTCAAGTATCTGTAATCCTCAAACTAAACACAGTCAGTGTATGTGTATATACGTATGGCCACATATTGACGATTGAACTGTTCATATTACACTGAAGCCACTCGGTGACTCAGTGGTAAGTCTGTGGGCTTATAACACTAAACATCGATACCCGCGGTGGGCAGAGCATGAATAGCCCATTGTGTAAGTTTGCGCTTAACAACAAATAAACTTTTGAAACCAGGTAAGCATGCTTTTCCAAATTGGTTACTTGTGCGCAACCTTTAATATTGTTTAGGGTTAGTTTGTATCGTGTTTTTCTACGTGTCGAAGCGAAAATGCTGATACACTGATTTACTCCATCCAAATGATATATCTGAGTGGATAAGGAAACAACTTGCCCATTGTTTTCCTAAAAACTAACGTTTTTCTCTCTCCCCCCACTCCCCTAGATTCTGTTTTATTGTGATATTAGACATGAGATAAGTTTTACAATGTTTTAGTTTCAAATAAAGTTGGTTAGGGGTGAACGCAAGTTACGATTACTTTATACAATTATTTTCTAATTAGTCTTTTCTTCATTGAGAATCCATTGCCTAGTCTTGTTCATTGATAATCCTTTCTTCAGTGAGAAACCATTGCCTAGTCTTGTTCATTGTTAATCCTTTCTTCAGTGAGAAACCATTGCCTAGTCTTGTTCATTGATAATCCTTTCTTCAGTGAGAATCCACTGCCTTGTCTTGTTCATTGTTAATCCTTTCTTCAGTGAGAAACCATTGCCTAGTCTTGTTCATTGATAATCCTTTCTTCAGTGAGAATCCACTGCCTAGTCTTGTTCATTGTTAATCCTTTCTTCAGTGAGAATCCACTGCCTAGTCTTGTTCATTGTTAGTCCTTTTTTCAGTGAGAATCCATTGCCTGGTCTTGTTCATTGATTGACATCAAGTTGTTTTTACGGCCTGGTATTAACATGTATATTTCCACCGATGTATGGGGCGTACTTTATTTATTTGTTTAGAAGTGCCGTGAATTAGGCGAAGCTAGTCCGTTGCAGCGAGAACAGCGAGTCAAAAAATAGATTAAGCCTCTACATTCTCTTTTCTTCACTGAAATTCACATTTTGGTGAAGATAAGAAATTAACAATTAAATATAATGTGTATTTCACGTTTATACAAAAAAGTAACTGACAGATCCGTTTTTGAGCTGTAGTGTACACAAACAGACAGACTACACCCAACCTGCTTAACGTAAAGGCAGTAGTATAAACAAAGACCAATTATGTACATGTAAAGAGTAGTGGGAGGTGTAACGTGCAGAAGCAGAACTGGTCAAACTCCACTTAGAAAACTGGCTGTAAATAAACGTGAATACTACACGTGTAAAGAAGCGACGCATTCTTTTACGTATAGCCTTGCTCGTAATTGCTATTGGAATACGATATTTAGTACACAACAGCCAGTTTTAACTATGTAAACAACAATAATTAATTGACTGTTGTATATAGTATTTTGACAATATGTAAACACAATAATTAATTGACTGTTGTATATAGTATTTTGACAATATGTAAACACAATAATTAATTGACTGTTGTATATAGTATTTTGACAATATGTAAACACAATAATTAATTGACTGTTGTATATAGTATTTTG